TTGAGGTAAATTTTTTTGTGAGAAATTCTAGTTGCAGCTTGTGGTCTCCTGAGTATCCATGTATCTAAGGATTAATTGTGGGTTACGTTAATCTTTTGCATTGTCTTAGCCATGTTCCTGGCATACAGAATTGTTGATGCACCTAGGAGTGTTCTACGTTAGATTGGCAAATGAATTGAGATTCAGTTTCAGTGGATGCTGATTTTGGTTTTAGATGGCTCTGATGTAATATAATTAGATGCAGGTACTCTTTACCTGGTCTGAGCTGCTGTCGTACATAACTAATTCTTGTATTTAGATTCATCTGAGCTCTCATTTTAACGTCTTCATAATATAAGCATTGCCCACATTTGAGTTACGCCCCTAACTGCTTATTCATCCATAATTTGACACAACTGCTTCCATTCTTCCTTGCAGGCACCTTACTTTGATCCAAGGACCAAACTTCGTTATGCTAATGCAGAGGTCTTCAAGGTCATAAGATCCCTTCCTAATGATTATGTCCAGAGGTACTTGGCCCTTAGAAATGCAGCAGTTGTATTGAAATAGTTGTATGATACGTCTCACTTTAGGTAGGTTGTTGAATAGTAACCTGAAAAGCGTTTTTGGCTAGTACTTCTTCATCAGTTGCCTGAAATATTTGTCGGCTACAGCAGCTATGACGCTCGGTGTTGTGTTTATATCCACCTTTTCCCTGTGTGCATGATGTGCCTTCCATTGACCCCTTTATAGTTGAAGTTACCGTTGGTTTGTCGGCCAAATGCATGAGATAGCTTTTCTGATTCAAGTGCAGATTTTTCAACTAAAGTAGAATTAATACAGGTGATAAGCCAAGCAAAGCAGTAGTTGAGCAGAAAAGAATTGATTACCCACAACCTTATCAATCTGCTTGGTATATGATACATAGCTACTTGTGCCTAGTACACTACGATCTTTTGTTCCAGGATTGTACGATCATTACCGCATTGTAAATGTTCTTGGTGGGTTCTAGGTTCTTTTACTACAGTCCAGTAATCTTAAATTGCATCATCCTTTCAAAATTAGTGAGTTAAAGCAGGACCAAAACCACATACTTGCAAAGCATATTCATCAATTGATTCGCCTCTGATAGGCTTCTTACTCGAGGGCCAGCCTCATATTTCCAGGAACTTTGGAGTTTGCTATGAGCTCTTAAAGCAGCTTCAAAACTAGGAATTCGCACTGGATACTATCATGAAAATATTTGATCAAAGTCACAAATTTGATTCTTGGACAAAATGTTGTTAGCTTCAACACGAACTCTGGGATGCAAAATCCTATGAGCAGAACTACCATTTCCGATTGGAAAAGCTCCTTGACCCAAAATTCTCAATTTATTCATGTGTTTGGGGTAATGATCATGAAGATTTGGGAATCTACGTGATTATTTCCCATCTGCATAGCAAGGCAAAAGTCAAAAACTGTTGAACAAAATTATGGAGCAAAAACTATATGAACGAGATACACAATATCAGTAATATCATAGCTCTCACAGTGGCAAAATGTGCAAAAGACACAAAAACCATGCCCAAAAGCAAGGGAGAAAAGATACTAATGTTCATCCTAACCCCCTCCAATAGAAATTATACAAGTGTTCCACGAGACAACACACAATCATAAGGAAAATAACCAGAGAAGAAAAAAGAGCTTTAATTTTCCAGCTGACAAATTTCTCAGTAAAAAGCTAATTTTTATAGTCAATTTTGCATTTCTGTAACTTGGATTTTCTAGTAAATTTATACTGCTGTGATAGCTTCAAAATGATCATCGCTTAAACTAAATTTTTAGTTTTTACGCTTACATTTCAAATTTTATGTTTAGTTGAGTTAAACTCGAGTCGGACTTAAAAATTATATTAAACACAGAATGTTATTATAGTAAGTTGATTAGTTGGTGATTATAATTCGAATAAATCTTTATCAATTCAAATTCAATTTGAATACAGAGTAATTTGATTCATTTTTCAATTTATATTAATATTAGAAGTGTGTACACTGTTTTTAACGGTAACTTTGATTTAGGAACATCAGCTGGTTTTCGTATAGGATAAAACCTCACACAATTAACTAGGCCACGAAATTCAGTTGCCTCTAAGGAGAAACAACTAGAACGTTACACTTGCCTATGAAGAAGACAAGTGTGACTGAAAAATAAAATTAGAATTGAAAAATAATGGACCTTTGTGTTTTGACTTTTCTTATTCTACCTGGATCACCATAGATGATGCCCTTTTCTGTTACTCTCTCAGCTTGTCCGACCTGACTTCAGATTCTCTTTACCACTTCCTTCAAAAAAAATTTTAGTATAGAATCTTGACTTTATCCTTGCCTCTGGGGTTGCTGTCAAGAATTTCCATCTGGGCTTTGCCTTTCTTGTTAGATAACTGGTGCTTGCTTTTCTTCATTGATAAAGGGTTATTTCCTAATTAGAGGTAAAGATTCAAACTCAGTGTTAGTTTTACCTGCGAAAACCGTATGAATTCTTCTATCTTGGCTGAGCTTCTTTATCCTTGCTTTTGAAAAATGATCTATGTGAAATTCTTTATCCTTCTATCTTGCACGTCTTTTGTTTAGATACTTTCTGGTTGTGTCTTGCTCAAATTTCCAAGTTCGTTGATTTCTTGGATTTTATGAAGTTTTACTGATCTTATAAGAATTTTAGCTTTTTTCAGGTTGCCCTGCAGTTTTTGTTTGTTGAGGAAATAAGATAGGATGGATGATAGAGAGGTAGAGCTTTCACACCCTGTCTTGGTTCCTAATTCCGATTCATCTAGCAGTGTTCAAGCATCAATCTCTGTGGATTCATTTCTTGATGAGTTGTTAAGAAATGCCCAAACATGTACTCACACACATACTTGCAACCCTCCTGGCCCTGATGCTGCACATACTCACACATGTTACCATACTCATACCCAAGTCATTCCATCTGAGAGAGTAGAAAATCCTAGTGAGAAAGTAGATGGTCCTTGTGATAGTAGAAAGTCAACATCAAAGACTAGGAGGTCTTCTGGAAATAGAGAAGCTGTTAGGAAATATAGGGAGAAGAAAAAGGCACAAACAGCTTACTTGGAAGAGGAAGCTAAGAAACTGAGACTGGTAAACCAGCAGTTGATTAGGAAAGTGCAAAGGCAAGCTATTCTTGAAGCAGAAATCTCGAGGCTTAGAAGCCTTTTGCTCGATGTTAGAGGGAAGATTGATATTGAATTGGGGGCTTATCCCTTACAAAAGCAGTGTACTTCAAGCACTAAAGTTAAAGAAGGGGATTCTGGGAGGCAATTTTCTGGTCTGGCAATGGAGCTTCAGTGTGAGAATGATTTAACTTGCTTCCATCCTCACGGGGATTCATCCATAGAGGATGGTGGTTTTGGTGGATGTGATAAAATGGGAGCTTCATCTTGGGAAGGAAACTGCCAGTCTGCAACTGTTGCTTGTAAAGCTAATGGACGTGCAGAAAGAAATGGTATGGACTCCGTGGAAACAAGGCTTTCATCTGCATCTCAAGCAGAGTAATCAAGAGCCAAGGCAAGATCTCAATTATGCCCTTCCCGATTGTCAAGTCTTATAGAACTTCTGCTTCAGTTAAATTTATGACAGAACTATGCTTGGTTGGCTGGGTTAATACACATCTGAAGTACTGAATATTCCGAGAATATAGTCATAAATCAGGTTAACACTCTGTTCTATAGAGAAGTATGAACCTGTAGATATTTTTGTACTCGAAAGGGAAAAAAAAATGTCCTCTATAGTATATGGTATCCTCCACGTATGAGAGCACTGATTGATGTACATAAATATCTATTTCACTAGTGCGGTTTTCAACATTTTGGTGGTTGTATAATAGCACCCCTGAGTAGCTCTCTATGTGGTGGGATTTCTGGTAGATATCAGAATACTTAATGGATGTTATCTTTTCTCTACGTTGGTGTAATTGTGATTTGATTGTATTATGCAAAGATTCTTTGATTAGGCATTTAGACACCGATTGAAGTAGAAGCTCTTTTTCTTAACACTAGCAGCTTCCTGTCTGAAGTTTCCTTTTAGCACAGATTGGTGCTGGTTCTGAAACTAGGACATTTGTATCTATAGAAGGGTTTCTGTGTAGCACAGATTGGTGCAGGTTATGAGACTAGGAAATTTGTATCTATACAAGGCCGTACAGATAACAAGCTTGATGGATAGGGTTAAGCATCCCAAATCTTTCCACTTTGCTGAATGTCAGTATCATTTAAGGACAGAGTATTGATTGGTCATTTCCTATCCTTGCAAGGGTGGTTAATTACTCCAACATTTCTTTTCTGATAAGTAAGTTTTCCATGAAGATTTTGAAGTTCAACAAACGCCTGAATTCTTGAGCATTTAATCCTTCCTCATAATAGATGTTGATTAAACACAAGATATTTATTTAAAATGCACAATGCCATGTTAACGAACTTGTCCCATTCGTTGAGGTAAACAATTTTCATTGAGGTGACAAAATGGATAATCTGTTGAGGTAAACAATTTTCATTAACAAAAAAGATGTGTAGATTATACAAGAAACAAATCGAATATGGTACTTGACAAATGTTGAAGAGAAGTCGTCAAAAGTAGTAGATTTAAACTGCTGACTGGACTAGGTGAAGCAAATACTTATTTGACATGACAATCAAGCCACATCTTCACTGAAAAGTAAATATTTGTGTCTTAACTTTCCTTCTGTATTTTCACAATCTGCTATTCGTTTAGTTCTTTAACACTAATTTCCATTTCCTAGTAGATGTGATGATTCGAAGTTTGAATGCAGACATAATCATGTTAATACTTCCCAAATTCACATCAGTAATATGATTGAAACGAAAATATGCCAGGAGTGTCCAAAAACTAAGTTATGAAATCAAATAAGAAAATGCAAAGGAATTACAAAATGTAGCCCTATTGTTAATTGCAAAGAGAAAGGAAAAGTTTTTCTATGATCCAATGTAAAAAGTGACTCCGGAGGAATGCACCAAAAAGGAAGAAGAAATTAATCTCAAAAGTTGAAAAACTCCCGATTTTGCAAATGCAAGGCAAGAACTAAGATGTGGCTTGCACTTTTTCAATAACATCGTTGGAGTAGACAATTAGATGTTCTGCAAGGTTGGCCATGAACAGAGAAAAATCCCGAAAGAGAAACAAGAACTAAAGAACAAGTTGAGGAGATTTTCAGCAGAAAGGTGGGATGGTATGCACAGGAAATGATTCTCCTGTGATTTGAGGCATCGGAGCATTCGAAGAAAATGAATCTGATAGAGGCCCCTGAGGTCAAGCTCAATCAAGTTCTAAGCAATATTCTATTTAGTTCACTATTGAAAGCTATGCAGTTTACATCAGAAACCCTGAGGCCAATCTTTCCCCTCCCATTCTGCCCTTGTATAGTAATTTGAGCAATGAATACCACATTTTTCATGCATAAGGGAAGCCGGGAAGTTGCCAACCACTCTTTTTGCAGCGACTAGAGCTGAAAGCAGTCAGCTATTTCCATATCTTCAAAATGGTTAAGTGTTGAAGACGCTTGTAGGTCATTGTTCTTCAGCTCTTATGCTGCTCCAAGTGAGAGATTGTAAGGGTGCAACGTGCAAGACAGCAGCCAGTATCATGGAAGCGACTCTTCTTCATCGGTGCCACTAATCTTGGATTCTCAGCGAGAGGGGAAACTCTGGATATCCACCATCAAAAGGGTATGGTTGCAGTCTAGAGGCAACATCGAGCTAAAATGCTCTCAGCCACAGGATGCTCCCACATTTTTGAACATTAATGCGCGAGGAAGGATTGCATCTTTGCAAGCAGCAAATTGAACTCCTTGCAATACGTACTTCTGAAAAGAGGCACAAAATAATCATAGCCCCAATTCTGCAAAGAATTATCAAACATAACAATGATTTGCCTTTCAAATTTTTGTCCATTTCCTATGGAGAAAGTGGAAAGAGGAGGAGCAGGAAAGGCAACTGCAGGTGATCCCGCACTTGCTGTTCATGGAATGACCTCTTTTAAGTACCAGTTGTTTCAAGAACAGTGCTTGAATTACAGGAATGCATTCCAATTTATCAAAGGTCTACAAGAATATATGAAAATATTTACAATGAACGCAAAGTGCAACATACCTAGAATATCTCGGTGCATGGGGTAAATATGAAAATATTTGTAGCAGTGGAGCAGAGTATTAGAGATGGATTGTGCAGCAAATACAGAACTAAACAATTTATACCAAAGATAGAATGCTGTCAATGGTACTCCATGAGGAAAAGCATACAAGGGGAAGAGATAGCAGAAACCACTTCAAATTAGTTGTCTTTTCCTTTTCAGAAAATTTGATTCTTCAGTATGTATGCTTCCTTTATGTTTATTATTAAAACAAGTGACCTGAAGTTCTATGTTTTGGAACTCTCAATCAATTATTAGTATAAGAATTGTTGATAGTTAGTTTCAAAAAGTTACTCATATGATGTTTATACCCTCTTTGTGTAGAAGGATCTTGGAAAGTTGAAAATTTACACAGCAATCACACGAATGCAAGGTGTAGATAAGAATGAAATATAGTCATAACTGTCATCAACACAAATATCCATCACTGATTTTGGGCTCATTTTGTTTTTGCACCCCTTTCTACTCTCTCTCCGTATTAATTTTATGAACTCTTCATCTATTTACGATTAGACACAAATAAATATCTAGCAATGGTGCCTTTTACATGCCTAATGCTACCAAGTCAAAAGGGGTAAAATACCATTGCAACCAACAAAAAGCACACAAGTCTGGACTATATTCAGAAAGGGCCATGTCAAGTCTATAGGAAGAAACATTACCTTAATGCAAGGGATAATGAAAAACTGAGGAAGCCAAAAATATTTGAAGGAAACCAACATCTTACTAGAAGTGGAAGATGCAAAAGGAAACACTGCAATAGTTTAACATAGGAGTAGGAGTACAAGCTAATGGAAGTATTAACTTGGAAAAATGTCCGGATAGATATTCTGCATAGCATATTTATTCACAAAAAGAGTGAAGGACATACAGGAATTGATAACCTTAGTGGTATGCAACATTTTAATCTAAGAACAATCTTTATGACAGAGATAAAACCATAAAGAAAAGGATTTTTTTTGGTACCCCCAATACATCTTGCATAAACAAAGTACTCAAAAAAGGAAATATGCCTTCCAAGACGAATAAGCAAAGGATGACATTACTGAAACCCATGACAATTTGTGTTTGAGACAAAGAAGCTGTTAGGCTGTGCCATATCCCTTCAATTTATCATTTCCTCCATTCATTTCCACAATTTCTTCCTGTTTCAACTTTTTGGTCTTGTTTAACATGTCTTATGATATATAAAATTAAATGAATATTTTGAAGAAAGCTCGGTGAAAAGAGCAACAAAGAAGCAGATAACTGAACATAACTAATGCGACTTGAAGATTTTACTGAACTTCATATGATATGGAATACACAGGAAATTCAAATGACATAAAACATCCTGCTAAGTAGTAAGGTATCAATGACTGAAAACATATGACGGTGATAATATGGCTCTTACCAGGTATCCTCTCAGCTTAAGCTCAAAAGAAGCCAGCCAACTCTGGATATGAAACAACTGTTGACATCTATAGGACCCAAGATCAACTAACCAAGTTCTCCAAGAGTCAAGATATTGAAGCATCACTTTTCATCCAGTAATAAGACAACCTGATTAGATATTTTCACTTGAATAACTAAGCTTGATCTAGTTGATGCATCACAGGGTTTAAGAGGTTTACATGCCAGAAAGAAGTCCTTTTTCAATTCTGAAGACCAAGTTGATGCATCATAGGGTTTAAGATGTTTACATGCCAGAAAGAAGTCCTTTTTCAATTCTAAAGGACTTCAACTAAAATTCAAGGCCTTCAACTAAAATTCACTTCAAAGATTCCAATATTGCTAGGATGGACTTCAATAAAAGTAGGAAAAAGTTTGTGATCACCAAAAGTTCATCACCAAAGTTCTTTTTCTGATTACCAAGGGCTAAAATAAGTTTAATGTTTAGGATTCCCTAGAAACTATCATCAGAATGATTGATGATTAGTGTCAAAAGACAACACAAGGAGTAGATGAGGATGAAATCAAGAAACATAATTATGCATTCCTACTATTTCGAACCTTTCTTTCTTTTTCTCTTTTACCCCATCTTGCAATCTGAAAATCAATTTACTCAACTCTTTCACCTATTTAGAATTAAAAAAAAAAATCTCTAGCTAGCACTGGTGCCTTTTGATAGTTAGCATCCCCATTCAACATAAAGCACCCAAGTCTAGACTATATTTAGAAGGGCCGTGACAATTCTAGATCTGAAAGCCAAGACTTACGCAAGGAATAATGAGAACATGATGTTAAGCCCCGAAAAACATACTTGCATGATAGATTTCCGCTTGTGATGTTTAGGTTGATGGTTTCCAGAGTGGTCTATTTGCTACATGGAAAACCGAGAAAGCTAAAAGATATGTGGAGGTTACCAGCATCTTAGCAACAAAAATTTTTCAATTAATCAGTAAACCTCAAATTATAAATAAAAGATGCAAAAGAAATTGCCACAATAGTTAAAAATGCGTAATAGGATGGAAGCATTTAAATTCAAGAAATCTTAGGAAAGATGTCTTGCAGTAGCATGAAAATACAGAAGAGATTAAGGAAATTCAAGAATTAACAAAAAAAAAGAAAAGAAAAGTGAAGGTACAATGATCTCATCAGGAACAAATACTCATATAGACTGGGTGTGTAACAGTTCCCCTAATTAGAGTTGACTAATACTTGCAATATATTTGCCTTACATCGTACTTAGTAGTGTTCAAACATTTTTAAAAGTTCCCATGACTGTGGCATAGAGAAAGCATAGATCTTGATGTCAAGGAAGCATATTGATATGCCAACAAACTACAATATACAGAAAAAATGAAGAAAAAAAAATTTAAACTAAAAGTGCACAACTGATCACAGAAAAAGTTGATTGTTGACATCCTTGAAATATGAGCTACCTTGTGCCAATCTTCTTCTTTTCTGTACTCCAAATGTATTGTCAGCAATTAGTAGTTCTTGATTTCTAGCATAAAAAGGGAGGTCACCAGCCCCAATTCTTCAATGGCTGAAGATGAGAGCAATGATGGTCCTTAGAATACTAAGAAAGGTGCATCACCTGGACTGGGAGAGAGCAATCCATGTCATGGCAGATACATCAAATTTTGACAAGATTAGAGCACTTTATGACTGCTCCTTATAAGAAGCAAATTGTGTTTTATAGTTTAAAGCAGAATTAAAAGGATTATAAAACAAGCACATTAACAAGTCAAGCAAAATAAGCTTATAGCTTCAAACAAAAAATTATTGAATGCATCAAAGAAAGCATAGAATGCACTTGGCAAGTTTAAGAACAGTCTGACTATTGGAAATACCTTATAGAACATTGAAGGTTTTCTTTAACGAGGAAAGCATTTGTCTGCTTGAGTTGGTGGCCTTACTTGATTGGAATCTACAGCACAGAAATGAACCAAAAGCATGGACTCTTATTTATTTATTTTTTTTTAAAAAAGTTGAAAAGAAATACAAATGGTGAAATCTGTAGCTAGAAAGTAATATATAATGAGATTGTTGCATCAGTAAAGACCACTACCTCAACTGTCCTTTCAGCACATCCTAGTTATTCACAACAGGCAATTCGCACTGAAATCATAACAAAAGATGCATTAACTAGTTGTGATTTTGCCTTTCGAGGCCTTAGAGTATTATGAGAGAGCCAAAAACATGAAGAAAAGAAAAAATTGAAAAACAAAGAAGTACCTTTAATTATATGAATAGATGATGATGAGGATCTTGTAACTGTGGGAGCCCTCAGGAGTAACCGGCGTCATCATCAAGGAACTAGGTCACCATCGACTAGCAGGCAGGGGATGTGGGCAACCTTGGGCCAGTCTTGTCCTTTCTCCCATTCTAACCTTGGCTTCAGCAGTGGGCAGCGCCAGATATATAGTTCGGTGAGGGAGGCGGGCAGTCCCTCTTCCGGTAGGGACTGGAGTCGAGGGCAATCAGTGAAGCGTAGAGTTTGAAGAGAGGTGAGGTGTCGAAGAGCTGAATAGTTTAGCACTTTTAGATTCTCAAGGGAGGACAAGGAGAGAGATTGAAGCGTGCAAGGCAACAGCCAGTCCTCCTCTGGAAACGACTCTACTTCATCACAGGGACTCTCAATGCTCAAACCCGTGAGAAAGGGAAGTTTCTCCAAACCCCACTCTGTCCTGCGACTCATGAGCTTCTTGCAATTTTCGATTTGAAGAAATTGTAGGGTGGAGGGCAAACCCCCTTCCGGGAAGCACTCAATTTCTGGACAATTTCTTAGACACAGAGATCGAAGAGATGGAAGGAGGGATTCCATCCGTTGCGGCAGCGACGTGAGCTTCTTGCAATGGTAGATACCAAGCGACGTTAGACTGGAGGCTGGAAAAGACAATATTAGATCATCGCAGCCCGAGAAGTACAAGGATTGAAGTGACGTCATCACACTACTAGTACTAGTAGTAGTAGTAGTAGTAGTTGTCATGCCACTCTGATTCCCAATCCCAAGTGCAGGTGCAGTAGGAACTGAGAGCATCTCAACACTCCTGCAGTTAAAAATTTGAACATATCTTAGCATGGGAAACGAGGCAAGCCACTCGACTTTGACTTTGACAGAGTCACAATTTAGTAATGTCAAGTCCTCCAAGGCCCCACCACCCTCCCCGCTTGAACTCTCCAATTCCAAATTGCAGCGTCCGTCGTACTGAAGTGATTTAAGTGAGGCAGGTGGTCTACTCACGTGCGAGGGTGAGAGAGACCCACAATCACGAATCGTCAGTTCCTTAAGTCGGGATAATTGGTTGGACTGTAGGTGCAACTCTTCCAAATTTTTTAGCGCTGAAATATTCAATTCCTCAAGCCTGGATAATTGGTTGAACTGTAGGGGCAACTCTTTCAAATTTTCTAGCTCTGAAATCTTCAATTGACGAAGAGATGAAAAATTTTGTTGATTCTCTCCATTCAGGATGCTCAATTGACCATTGGGACGCACAAGATTGCCGCAGCCAGATATCTTAAGGCTTTGCAGCGATGCAAGTTGTCGGGGAAGTTCTCCAATCAGTTTGGGACAACCAATTATACTGAGTTCTTCAAGTCTATTGAAGACTTCACCTTCTGGTACGTGCCATCTCTCCCACTCAGGCAGCTTCTCGATTCTCAACTTTTTCAGAGATGGGAATGGTTTGGTTGCACTGACATCTCCATAAAAATCTTGTGTCAAGTCTGATATACAACTCATTCCAACAATTTCAAGTGATTGCAAGAACCTTAGCTGCCCAAGTGCAGGCAAGGAAAGACAATATTTGCAATTAGATAGACTCAAAGATTTCAAACGGCAAAGTGAAGGGTTGCCTATCCAATCTGGAAATGTTCTCCCACCATATCCTATGATCTTAAGATGCTTTATCCTTGGATGCGGTCGCAATTTATCAAGCACATCTCTCATAGCTTGTGAATCATTGATAGCACCGTTCCACTCCAAAGATAACTCGTCAAGGTGTTCCTTACCTTCCATCTTGGCCATGGATGCATCCCTGCCACTAGAAACATTTCCAGCCCCGAAAGGATTAGCTTACCACGTAGCATAGAAAGCTTGCCCAACTCCTCAATCATTGAACCGCTGTCCTTGCCTATGACAAAAGCAGTCAAGACTTGAAGGTTTATCAGTCTACCCATTTGTGGTGGCATTTTCTTCAACGGAGTTCCGCTAATATCCAGGCAACACAAGTTAATTAACTTTCCCAAATTTGCTGGCAACTCTTTAAGTCCTCTACAGTGTGACAACAACAAAGTTTGTAGATTATAGAAACTACATATCCACTCTGGTAGCTCCTTTATTCCTGTTTCAGAGAGATTCAGAAATCGAAGTTGTTTGAAGCCACTATAAGAGTTTGGTAACTTCACAATATTCTGATAACAGGACAACGATAGAAACCTTAAAGACATGAATTGGGGCAAGGTATCCTCTAAGAATCTGTTGCTTAGACGATTCAAAGGAGGACCCGTTCTCAATGGTAAGAATGTTCTTATATTCTTAGTCTCCCTCAAGAGATTAAGCTTATGAAATGTGTCAATCCAACTAGGATGGTATGAAAAATGTCTTGCACCAGATATTGTAGCATTGCCTTCCTGATGATCTTCCAACCTAAGGCAATATTTCCCAAAAACAAACCAAGCCAAATCGTTCACAAGGTCATGCATGGAGAAAGTATGGTCAGATAACTGATGAAATAGTGACCTCATTCTCAGTTCATGAAAGCACTTTTCACCCTCATTCTTAATTCTTTTATTTTCTCCAGGATACCCTAAAAGATCATTAGCTTGCCATAACTGAATAATTTCCTCTTTTCTAATCAGGTAATCTTTGGGGAACACAGCACAAAAAGCAAAGCACCTTTTAAGATGGGAAGGAAGATGAATGTAGCTTAATCTCAATGCTGGCAGGGGGCCATTTGGATTATCCATTTGAGTCCACTCTTCACTTACTAAAATTTCTTTCCATTCTTCGGGGGTAGTTTTGGAACGCAAAACACCTGCAACTGTTTTCACAGCCAAAGGCAACCCTCGACATTTCGTCACAATTTTGTTTCCTATTTCTTCAAGTTCTGCATTTTCATTGCCATCTCTATTTTCAAATGCATGCTTCTTAAATAAAGACCGGCAATCTTCCTCTAGCATGGGATCCAAATGATGAATTGACCTTTCTTCGGCCATCATCCTTGCAACTTGCTGATTCCGTGTTGTAACAATGATCTTACTTCCACGTGATCCACCTTTGAAAGGGGTCCTTAAATTGTCCCAGTCATTGTAGTTATCATTCCAAACATCATCCAGAACAAGAAGGAACTTTTTCTCAGTTAGGCCACCTCGTAGCTTCACTTGAAGGGAGAGCAAGTTATCACTCTCACCAAAAGAAATACCGAGCTGCCTTAGGATTTCTTTTGTTATCCTAGTAGGATCATATTCTTCTGATATGCAGACCAATGCCCTGGTAGGAAAACTCACTTCCACCCCCAAATCTTCGTAAACCATTTGGGCCAAGGTGGTCTTGCCAAGCCCACCCATTCCAACTATTGGAACCACGGTGATATTGTCTCCATTTGCATCCTCAGACAGCAACTTTTGAATTATGCTCTTTTTATCAGCACCTCTCCCAAAAATAGTAGTCTCATCAATCAAAGCTGTATCAAATTTTTGATGCGACTCTATTCTGGAATGACCCAAGGGAATAATTTGTTGCAAATGCAAGTCAGTACTTTGTTGCCTACGTCTCTCTAGGCTCGCCACTATCGTTTCAATCTCAGGCATAATCCTCTTAAGGAATTTATTACCTGAAGATCTACAAGGCAGAATCCTTTCAAGGCATAATCTTCTTAAGGCACTTCTCCAATTGCTGGTTGACCTTTGGTACTCACTTTCTACCTTAATTCGCAGAGCTTCAGTGTTGATTTTGTCCAGTAAATCCTCTGCTTGATAAAATGTATCATGAAGCTCTTCAAGCCATTTCTTGACAGATGGGTTCCGTATTTCCTTGTTCTCTGCATCATCAAGCACGGCTTCAATAGTGAGGAACTCACTCTTGAGCTTTTGGAGGAGATCATCATCGGCCTTCCGATTACGAAACAAATTCAGGAATTCGGGCCTAGCCATCCTATCAAATAGCACTTGAAGGAAAGCAGAGAGGAGTGAGCCTCCCACTAAGGCAGCGGCCATATCTCCAGGTGAAGATAAAATGAAAGAAACTTGCACAATGAAAACAACGAGAGACAAAGACCTGCAATAAATGAGAATAGTCAATTTTGTCTGGGAAAGTCAAGCTCAAAGAAAGAACATGAACACCAGTTCATTAGGTGTGGCTTTAGTTTAATTATAATGAATTAGTAAAAAAAAGAAGTGGCAGCATAGTTGTCAACTTGTCATACACTAACCTGGGTTTTAAGTTGCCAAAAGTTTTCCAACATGGGGATTTTGACTTTTGACAAAACATTTTTTTGGCCAATTAATACATACGCATAGGTTAGCATTTTGAGTCTCTATTTAAATGAAAATGAACTTTCAGGCGCAAAAAAAAAAAAAAATCAGGGAACTTTTTTTTTTTGTGCCTTTGACACATTCTTTTCGTATATTTTTATATTTTCTTTATTGATATTGATTTTTTATGAATTTTAAACTCAGTATAAAACTTGTTAAATGGCCTTGTCGGGAATTCAAGTCTAGCCATCCTATCAAATAGCACTTGAAGGAAAGCGGAGAGGAATGAGCCTCCCACTAAGGCAGCAGCCATATATCCAGGCAGAGGTAAAAGTGAAAGCGACTTGCACAAGGAAACCAACGAGAGAGAGCGAGAGAGAGAGAGACCTGCAATAATTTTGTTTTGGAAAAGCCAAAGTTGCACACTAATCTGGGTTTTAACTTTTAACCTGCCAAAGTTGTCCAACATGCGAATATTGACTTTTGACTTTTTGGATGAATTACCTTTTACCCCTGTAATTTGGTATTTTATCACATAACCCCCCATATAATTTAAATACCTATATATAACCCCCTCTGAATTGGGCTAAAGTGTCACCGTTAATTTCTCCGTTAAAGTTAATTTCTCCATTAAAACTAGCGAATGATTAATAGTAAAAAGTTTAAGTTAAACTAATAAATTGATAATTTACCCTTTTCTTATTTCTTTTTTTTCCTCCAAACATAAAAAAGAAGAAATTGAAATAAAAATAGATAAATAAGAACTAGAAAATACGATTAAGGATTTGGTTTAAAAATCTATAATGATATTTGTAGTAAAAAAAGATTTGATATTTTTTGTTTCTTATATATTTGTTTTAAATTTCCCTTCCTTCTTTTTTTTGTTTCTTATTTATGTTTTTGTTCCCTTGCATCTCTTTTGTATTTGGAGAAAATTAAGAATTTGTAAGTCAAAGTATAGGTTTTCAAAATCATCTCTTTTCTTTCCAAAAAAAGAGATAGAAAAGGAAAAAAAAAAAAGGAAAAAGCAGTGGAAGGGTGAATTTGTCAATTTATTAGTTTGACTTTAAATTTTTACTATTCACTATTAATTTTAATGAAAAAACTAACTGTGACACTTTAACTCAAAGCATGAGGAGGCGATATATATGTTTTTAAATCATGGGGGTTATGTAGTGAAACACTAAATCACGAAAAGTACAAGTAATTTACCCGTTTTTGGTAATTAATACATAGGCATAGGATAGCATTTTGAGTCCCTATTCAAACGGAATTCAACTTTCATAAAGGGGAAAAAAGAGAGAAGGAGAATGGAAAAAAAAGGAATAAAGATTATTTAAACGTTTAAAAAATGAGAGCAGTCAGCATATAACATTTGAAACAACAGGATGGAAATTGGTAAAAAAAAAAAATGTAAGAACCGCACTATTAAATATATTGTATAAATCCCTTAAAATCATGTATCAACAGCGAAAAAACAAGTTTCTGATGGGAATCAGAATTCAATTCATTCCAAGAATTAAGAGTTTGAAAACCAAAATTCGAAATTGATACGGATTTGAGTTACGCCAATTTCACCTCCAATTTATCTAATTTACAATATTGAAACGTTAAAGATGATTAAAGGATAATCGGGAATTGGCTGAGTGTTAGCTTAGTAGTGTATTAGTTGAATATTAGTTTTTGATTTAATTGAGGTTTCCTCTTGTAACACTTAATCGACGATCATAATAAAATTCCATCTTTTGCTGAAAGAAAAAGGAAAAAAAAAAAAAAAAGATGATCGTAATGACCGTATGTGACGAGGTTTAACAGAATTCAATAGAATCTGCAAAATTTGATAAAGAAAAGAAAAATGAAGCTTACGGTCAAACGGTATCGGGCTTGGTACTTATCGTCGTCAGTCCAGCACTGGATGAAGCTTCTCTCCCTCTCTACTCCTTTTGTGGTGATATCGAAGAATGATGCTAGGAACTAGGAGGGCTTGGTGTAAAACCTGTGATCAAGGTTCGTTGTTGTTCCACAGAATATACAGAAAATTTATGAGCAAAGAAATTAGAATGTAGTCTGAAATTAAATAATGGGCGAGGGAGCAAATGTGTGGCTAACAACTGCCCTGCACCGTTTTGATGGTGGGAATATGCGATCATTGACTGTGGAGAAAAATTTGTCCTTTGATGTGATTAATCTACAACACTACTACGAAAGTAGAAATTGATTCTTATATGACAGTTGTGACTCTTATTCAAAATGCTCACATCTGTTACATTATTATGATAAGTTTCCCTCAATTACTCAAGGAATGCAAGTGAAGATCAATCATGCTTATGCGGCAGCGATTTTTTATTTAATCTTTTAAACATAGATTTATCTATTTACACTGATAGTGTATAAAATTATAGTTTAAATTTAAGTTGGAATTAGTTAGAAAGCAAACAAAGAGTATATTTGCTCCTTTAATTCTTTCTTTAGATTCTATTTTGCAAGAATTTCTTGTTTTACACAAAGCCTGCCCATAATTCTACTGGTTAGTTTTACATCAAATCAGAAATGTTCATTCTTATTGTTTGTCAATATATTTGCTGCAAAGAGGGTTACCAGTGCATTTCGCCATTGAAAAGAAAAGCTAAAATGAAGCAAGCAACTTGATAGAAAGACAGACTTGGTGGACGAATTTTACAAACCAACAAAAGCAAAACAGAAACAAAAAAGAAGAAAAAGAAAAGTAACGGTAGTTGGTGATGCAATAGCCGACATTGATTCAATTTGGTGCTGATAAAAAAAAAAAAAAAAAGACTGACAAGTGACAAAAAATTGTCCTGTGAGGTGATTACTCAAAAGTGTACTATCTCAAGAAAAGGGAAAGAAATTTGCAAAATTTTGGCCGAAAGTAAAATAAAGGTTGTAAAACATGTTATTCTGGTTTCATGACCGGATGTGCATTCCGAAAAACTCCTTGCACGCTTTTATTATGTATTTTTATCAAATTATACATGTCTGATATGTATTTTATCAAATTATACAGGTTTGACCTAAAAGTTTCTGAAAGTGTTTAAAATGTTGAAAAGAATGTGAAAATATCATAAACCTTTGGCTTTGTGAGACTCTCCATTTGCATGAGCATTCGTGTGAAGGCAGCCAAAGACTAAAAATTCTACTTTTGACTCTGGGGAGTCTTTGTTTTTAAACTCGGACCAGACTGGCTGGTCCGATTGAACCGATAACTGGCCAATTATCCGGTCCGAGTTAACCTTAAGTTAAAAATTCAGTCAAATCAGTTCAAAAATCGACTTTGACCAAATTTGACCCGATTTGACTGGAAAAATAAGAATCGGGTCTTTTTTTTTTTTTTTTACATTTTTTGAAAGATCAAAATATTTTTAATGTTATGTTTTGCCCCCAAGTTGTTAAAATTTATTAATATGCCTCAAATATTTCAAACTTGATAAATATTGTCTTAAAGTTTGGTGTTATTTTTCAATTAAATCCATAATTTTAATTCTAAACTTATTAATGCTCATTAAATAATATAAATTGCTACTTGATTGTTCTAATTTCTTTCTATTTGCTTGTTAAATATATTTGAAACATGAAATATATATGAATATACCTCTATTAATATTAAAATGTTATTAGGCATTTTACATATAATATTTTAATTTTTATTTATGAGGTCATCCGGTTCAACCCCGATCGAACCCGATTGAACCCATTGACCCCTGAGTTCGACCGAATCGATACCCGATCTGGTTCTGAAAACATAGCGGGGAGTTTCATTGTACCTGATCAGGAAGTCTTGGTCGGTCAGGTTAGGATAAGAATCCAAGACCTGTAATTTGGGGTCAATTTGAAAGTTTCTATATTTTTTGTAGGGCCAAGTTTTACATTTTTCTTAAAGATTTTTTTAACCCTCCATTTCATATCCACTTGATCAATTACCATCCATTCGACTTGACATTAGAAAGATTTAAAAGTCATCCCCTAACCCCATGAAAATCTTTTAGAATTTCAAGGACAAATAACATAAATTTTTAGACTTGGAATTCTTATTTTAAATTATTGAAAACAGACCCTCTAAAATAATATTATAATAGCAAAAACCCAAATTTAAAATTTTTTCCATACCTTAAAAGTAGTGTGTATAATATTGGTGGTTGATTTTTCTCAAGAAACTTTACTCCCTTTTCAATATATTTTCTGAAAATTTGTATGTTTTGCAATTATAGATGGTTTTTTTTTTATGTAGCTCGGTTTAACTATAGGATCCTTTTTTGTAAGGGATAGAATAGGTATATCAACCAAAAATTGATTATAAAAAATTGTTTTCAGCTACAACAAGTTGCAAAACAAGTGCGTGTGCCTCCAAACACGTTAATTTTGACGATTTTCATTGATTTTTCAGTTTAGTTCGAACCAAGAGATGTTGGATTATATGTTTCGAAACCACTGGGATTTTTCTGCATGTTCGCTTAACCACAAGTGCCTTTTTTATTTTTTGTCCTTAGTTCAATATTAGTTCTTGATTTAATTGAGGTTTTCCCCTTGTAAAACTTTATCAATGATCGTAATAAATTTCCTTCTTTTGCTAAAAATAGTGGTTGTAATTAGCCTTTTTGACGAATTTTAACAGAAATCAATAGAATTTGCAAATTTTGGTAATGAAAAAGGGATTGAAGAAAAATGAAGCTTACGGTCAAATGATATCGGGCTTAGTACTTAGTAGTCAGTCCAGTACTGGATGAAGCTTCACTGCCTGTCGACTCCTTTTGATGTAGACTCTGTGCTCAAAGTTCGTTGTTGTCGCACAGAATATACAGAAATTCTACGAGTAAAGAAATTAGAATGTAATCTGAAAGAAGACAATGGAAACTGAGCAATACATGGACCAGAGAGCAAATGTGTGGCAAAACACTGCACTGAGCCCTTCTGATGGTGGGAATATATGAATTGACCAGGGAGAAAAAGGTTGTCCTTCTTAATGTGATTTAAATATAACACTCCGAAAGTAGAAATTGATTCTTATGTGACAGTAGCTCTTATTCAGAATGCGCCATCTATTATATTATTATGATAAGCTTCCCTCAATTAATTATTTAAGGAATGCAAGTGAAGATCAATCATGCTTATGCGGCAGCAATTTTGTTTTAAATCTTTTAAATATAGATTTATCTATTACACTATCAGCGTATAAAATTATAATTTAAATTTAAGTTGGAATTAGTTAGCAAGCAAACGAGAAGTATATTTTCTTTTTTAATTCTTTCTTTAGATCCTATTTAGAAAGAATTTTTTGTTTTACACAAAACCCGCCCATAATTCTACTGGTTAGTTTTATATGTTCATGCTCATTGTTTGTCAATATATTTGCTGCAAAGAGGTCTGCCAGCAGTAGGCCAATATGGATATATTGTCGGGACACAACCATCCCTTAGATCAGGATTGAGTGGTGGAAAAAGAATTTGCATGATGTCTCCAATTATTGAATTAGCTGAATTGTCAAATGCACACTGTGAATGACTTTTATGAGGCAGGAAAGAATTATTGGACATAGAAAGTGTGGTAAATGAGCATTCCTGACAAAGATTATTCAATGTGTAGTGCATTTCACCATTGAAAAGAAAAGCTGAAATGAAGCAAGCAACTTGATAGAAAAGCGGACGGGTTTTTCAAACCAACAAAAGCAAAACAAAAACAAATGGTAGTATAGGTGAGGAAGTTAATTGACAATTTTTTTTTTCAGAGGCGGTAACTATTGTATAACATAATCTATACTATATTAGGGAAAAAGGGTAGATCAAAAGAGGTTCAGGGATACTTTGGAGGGGACTGAATCATCATCGGATCAGACGGATACACTACGTATTAATTTCAATTTTTTTTAAATAAAATTACTTTTAATGTGATAATTGGTAGGAGTGCCCCGTTTGGATTGCGATTTTTCTCAGAAAAATTGTTACGTTTTCCGTGAACATATTTTTCTATCACATTTTTATCTCTCACATATATCAAATCGCTACAATAATTTTTTATAAAAAAATTCAAAAAACAAGGCTTAATGCTTTAATGCTTTAATGAACCTTTGCATCCCACCCACCAAATCCACCAAACTTTAATGCTCCGGTGGTGCCGCCAGCCCGAAGGCCTGTGGTTAACGAAGTTAATCGACATTGATTCCCTGGTGATCAAGAAAAGGACACGACAGACTGGCAAGGGACAAGAAATTGTCCTGTGAGGTGATTTCTCGAAAGTGACAGCGGGACCTATGGTACTATTTCAAGAAAAGGGCAAGAAAGTTGCATTATTTTTGGCCGAAAGTAAAATAAAGATTGTACAACATGTTATTCTGACCAGTGATCCGGAAATGGAAGGCCTTTATAGTTTTAGAGCTCAAATCAATCTCCATATAAATTCAAAATTATCCTCTTTCTAAAAATCGTATGGGCATGGGATCAAGAGTTTGAAAATTAAACTCATTTCATCAATTTCAATTCCAATTGATCCAAAACTTACACTAATAAGCGCGTTAACGTAACCATAGCATGACCTAAAGAGGGAAAGGGTGGGGGAGGAGATTCCTAGTAATAAGGCCCTATTTGTTCTACGAATTTAGCAAGGAAAAGGAAATGAAAGGAAAGAAAAGTAAATTCCTCTGGAAATGTTAAATCCCTCGTCTTGTCTGGTTATGAATGAATGTAGTCAGGAAAATGATCTCTACAAAAAAAAAAAAAATTCTGTTTGATTTGTGGATTTTGAAAACGAAATCCTTTGCTTTTCTTTTTTCCTTTTTATGAAAGTTAACTAATAAGAAGATGAATTTTGAAAAGGAAATCGAAACGAAAATCTCCTCTTTTTTTTTCTGAAAATTGAAAACTTAATAGACAATCAACTAAAATAAGTTGGCAAAATATTTTAATTTTGCTGCCAAACTTTCGAACTAAAATTGCTTAGATCACCTCATTCTCAACCTCAAACCTTCACTTGCAAACTTGAATGGAAACTGGAAACTAATTGTAGACTCTATAAAAGAATATTAATAATAATAACAAGCAATAATAATATTTTGCAAAGAGCATACGACACAAATTTAACAAAATGCCAAGAAATCGCAAAAATTGAAAGTTAAAAACGCAATGAAGGCGAATCAAAATGAAACTTACGGTAGCAGACAAAACAAGTTTGCTTCAAATGATTTCGGGCTCTCTATATCTTCTGCCTCTTTGGTGAATTGGTGGGCTCTGTATCCCTTCTGCTCCTTTGGTGAATTGTAGAGTGTATCTCTTCTTTCAGTACGTCCAGAGGTTGATGATGAAGCTTCTCTATCTATTGTGCTACTTGGGTGAATTGGTGGTAATGAAGAATGGTGCAGTGAAATGAGAAACGGTGACGAGTGAAGTTGGAGAAAAGGTTTGGAAATAAGAAGATGTTTACCAAGTCATCGGAAAACAATATGAAACTGGAATGTAGTCTGCTGAAATGATGAGAACATAATGGAGTAATTGCGTGAGTGATAACACAATGGACCAGCGACAAGAAATTGTCCTTCGATGTGAATAATCCAAAAGAGTATGGGACCTATAGCAATTATGTTTATTATTATTTGGTGCAAGAAAGAAAGTGGAAGTTTCTACCCGCTTTAGCAAGGGAAAATGCATTCAAATAATTCTAAATTAATGATTGCATAGCAATTAACTACAGTCCAAATCCCATAAACAGGTTCCTTTCCGATCTTTGTAATATTGAAATAACATTTAATATGGCTTAAAATAGAATTAGAATTGGTTTTATTTCCTACCCTACTGTTTTTAGCTTCAAGTTTTGTATAGAGGGGAAACATATTACTTTGCTATATATTAATTTGAGACGTTTACTAAAGCATGGAGATGTAGCGAAACTTACCGAATTACTGACCAATTAATTAAGAAATACTTTTCATTCTTTTTTCTTAAAAGAAAAGCCACAGGGGGTTTCCAAGAATAATTTGAAGAATTAATATGTAATTTACACGATTTGAAAGCCAGTTCAAAGGACAAAAGTGAACAGAGGAATTTTGGAGGCAATAACCTTACGAAAAACGAGAGGGCGAATGCGGTCTCAAAGAGGACGGACTTTAGCCCGGAAACGACGAGGAAAGGCAATTGAAATGAAGAACGGTAGCCTCACAATAATTACTCCTATTCAAACTGGCAGCAGTTAGTTGTTGACAAAATAAAACAAGCTTTTAGGACTTTCGTTAATTTAAATTTAGCAATTGTTGTTATATTAAGTAATCCCGTATTTGAGTGGCTTCTCATCCTCTTAAGTTCATAGGGTTATAACTTATAAATAGGCTATTTTATGGTATTTTTCTATGAGATTTTTTTTAGCAAAAATTTTTTTACCTTTTTCACCACTCTCCACACCCTTTCCATCTCTTAGTGTCAAGTCCAATATTCAATGGGTAAAATACACTTTACCCCCTGTGGTCTAGCAATTTTGCACATAATTTCCTATAGTTTCAAAAGTTATACGTAACCCCCTCATAATTTGGATTAAAGTGTCAAAATGATAATAATGATCATTTGTAACGGAACCTATGAAAATATCGAAATCACCCTTGTTTAAAAACTAAAATGGTTGAAGTGATCAAAATATATAAACATAATATACATGACACTCTAACCCCGTATGATTTTATATTTTACCATATAACTCCCTTATAGTTTAGTATTTTACCATATAACCCGCTTATAGTTTTCAAAAAAAATATATATATATATAACTCCCTGTGGTTAATAAATAATTTTCAACTTTACATAGGAGTATTTTTGACCATTTAGTTGATTCTGTTATGGAATACAAATTTCGTCATTTTGACACTTTAATCCAAATCATGAGGGGATTATGTATAACTTTTAAAATCATAAGGGGTTACGTGAGAAAATACTATATCACAGGGAGGTAAAGAGTATTTTACCCTATTAGAACATTCAGCCAACTTCTCGCCTTGAACCTTTACTTTTCCCCACAGTGGATGTTAACAAATACTCTTCTGTTTTTCCAACCTCCGGTGTGCATTTCCATTTTAGCCAATTTAATCCCTTTTCAAGTCCATGTAGCAATCCAGATGGGCTCTTAGTTTATAAAAAAATTTCAATAGTTTATGCTTTACACAAACCCATATTGATTTTCTTTCAATATTGCTAGTCAGTGAAAAAGGCAATTGAGGTGGGCAAAAAGTTAACTAGTTTTATGGGTGCAGATAATTACAGTTAGTGGCCCAACAATGAAATGTTTTCTTTTTAAAATTTAAAATGTACTTTGAAACTAGAAACTCACAAAACGTAGACGTCAATTACTCAATGAAACTAGAATGTAGTATTTTCAGATTATAAGAAGATAATGGAAGTAGAAGTGCCATGGCATCTTTTGAGGTTCCATTTAGGATTGTTGTAAATTATTGAGAAGTATTTTACCTAATAAAGCTTTTAATAAAAGCACTTGTTAAGTATTCAAGTACTTTTAAGTATATTGTTTGGATACATGATTCAATAAGTACTTATTATACTAGATAATGTGTAAATTTAAATTTTTTAAATGTATTTATCTCTTTATTTAGTTCATAATCTAGGATAAAATAATTAAATTTAATATTTTATTTTTTAAAACATAAAATCTATTATAAAAGTATCAAATTTTAGCTTTTACTAAAAATACTTTTAACATCAGAAATTTCACCCCTAATTTTATGGAATAATATTTACCAAACATTTCAAAATTGCTTTTAGCATCCAAAATGGCTTTTTTTTTTGTAGCAAACTTTCGTGGACAAACAAAACACGAGAATATCAATCATGCTTTATAGGGAAGTCTATTGATGTGGGTCTTGCGAAAATTAATGGGAATCTTTTGACTATGGACCATGGAGACTATTTTTATACTTTGCACTGTGGACAGCATTGTTGAAAGAGACAGCATCGAGAAAAAGCAACAATAATTTCTTCTTTTTTTCATTTGATCATCGACCACTGTGAAGTCTTGGCCTAGGAGCTTAGGTTAAGAATCCAAGACCTCCAGTGGTTGATTAAAATGATTGTGGGTACTTACCTGGATTTAAGGTTCTTAACCGCACTTTTAATTATTAATTGGTTGGATGGTATTGATTTGTGCGTTTCACCTTAGATTGTGTTTTGCATCAGGATTTCGATTATTTTCGAGTATTTCTAATCTAGCTGTTATTGTGTAATTTCAACTTGTTGAAAAAATCAATAATAGTTGGTGAGGGTGTGCTCGGGAGAGGGGGGATTGTCATCCATCCCACATCGAAAGATTGTGGGGTAGTTACCCTAGGTTTAATATCCTCAGCCGCACTTCCAGTTACCAATTGGTTGGATGTAGAGGTGGCAATTTGGATTGAAATCCATTTATCCATCCATATAATCCATAATTAAATGGATTTGAATTATCCATTTATAGTATTGGTTTTAAATGGTTGATCAAAGTAAAACCATTAAATTAAATGGATTTATATGAATTATCCACAAAAATCACATATATCCATTTATTTAAAAACCAAATAAAAGAAAAAGAAAAGGAAATGACTAAAAGTCTAAAACACAAGAGCCTGCTAGTTTCAGAGTCCTGATGTTCTGTCCCTTCTTGCAACTCTCCAAAAAATTGACCCAAAAGAAATTCCAAATATACTTCTGTTCTACGGCCATTAACCTCCATGCTATCACACAACAACGAAACTACCACCCCAAGTTTTGTGCAAATCAGCAGGTAAAAAAGCACAGGTCCAGCATCATGTTCAAAGACATGATGTTCAAAGCGATAATGTTCAAAGACACATATGCTAGCATTTTCCAATGATTTCAAGTACCCAAGGCTGGGCAGCGCCGCGCCATTGAGTTGCCTTCAGGTAATTATATAGTTCTACTTTTACGGTCAAAAGTTTCCTCAACTGGTACGTTTACAAAGCAAAATCTATACCCCTGAGAACTATGCTTATTATGTTTATGAAGTGCTTGATGAAATTCCCCTGAGAACGTTGAATTCAATATTTGTCTTGCATAATATGTGTAACCATATAATAATCAGAGTACCTGGCTAGAAAATGTCGGCCATTATCTGTCTGGAACCTGTTCTGCAGGTGTGGGTTTTTTTTTTTTTTTTTTTTTTTTTTTTTGTCGTTCTGAATTAGGCCAAGTTTTTGTAACTTTAGTTGGACGGTCTCTTAAGAAGCTGCGGGATGCCTGCGGGGGATCGACTAGGATAAGATAAAGTAGCTATTTATTGACTTTTTTTTTTTTTTTTTGGGTTCACCATTTGAGACTTGCAACTTATGTGGTGTAAACTAGCTAGGAGGAGGAATTCAAAGTTGGTATCCTGAAAAATGGGAAGAAGTTAACTTGCAATGGCTTTCGAATGTCAATTTGTCTTGCTGTTTGTTGCCAGAAATCTTTCTGAAATCTTCATTGTATAATCTTTCTGGCAGGGAATTGTCAGTTCTGGACTATGTGTGGCTGCAGTTTTCTGGAGCTCAATGATGGAAGGCCCTTTGTTCGTGTCTTCTTTCACTCCTTTGGGACTAGTATTCACTACCCTTGCTGGATCCCTCTTTCTAAAAGAGGAGCTGTGTTTGGGAAGGTTATGATATGGGGAAAAGGCAAGGAGGCAACTGCATCTCAAGATGGAGAAACTGAAAGCAGGAGGGATGAAGTAACCGATGGTAGCCAGGCTGCGCCTCTCATTGTCCCCGGCCAGTGCACTGATTATCAAACAAATGGGGTTCATCAACAATTTAAGCATGAACATGTTTTACAAGCTCGGTTAGCATTGCCAAGAATTGATTGAATATTGCTGAGCCACTGTATCCTTTTCTTTTTCCTTTTTTTGTCTTAGCATTTTCTGTTAAAACAGTAGGCGAATGGATCTGAATTCTGTTTCTGTAATTCGAAAGATGAAGAGCCACTCTCTTCTCAGCGCATTTTTTTAGCTTTTCAAATGTAAACTATCCTGAAGAGTTATAATTGCTCTTGATTGTGGAACCTGCATAATTGCTTTAGGTGTTTTGCTTTTGCGTTCTTCCTTCTTTCAGTTCAAGCACTGAGCTACAAAATCTCATTGAAGGCCACAAAGTTATCCTTATCGATGCCTCTTAAACTTTTATCAACTCTAACTGATGTATGGAAGAAAAGGAAAAACCTAAAATTTGTCCTCCTCCTTATCCAAATACATCTAAAATTTACAAGTACATAAAAAAGTATCTTCATATTACAAGAAATGGTAATGTAAAAAAAAAAGTAACAAAAATATTTAAATGGATTATAAATGGATAATTGGTTTTTATTTAATCCATTTAGATCCATCCATTTAGATCCATTTAATAAATGGATCTAAATGGATTGGATAAATTTCATCCACCATCCATTAAGTCAAAACCAATTATGAACCATTTATCCATATTGCCACCTCTAGTTGGATGTTGTTGATTTGTGAGCTCCACCTTAAATTGTGCTTTGCAAGTATAAAGTGGAGCTCACCTCAATCGCTGTATAAATGATGTGGAACACCAACTTGCAATTGATCTTTGATTTCATCATTACATGTGATAGTGGACAAAACTTATACTTTTCAAACAATTTTTTGGCATGAACTCTTTTGTCAAAAAATTCAAACATGTTCACCCATCCCTTAATTGCAATTCTATTACTCAATTCATCCATAACATCAAGAAAATCCAAAATCACAAAATCATACTTTCCACCATCAAAAGTTTCAACCTGATCATGATCTTGTTCTGATTCATCCACACCAACAATCACATTAGTTTCAACAATGCCACAATTTGCGACTAACTTGTCAAATCCACAATTAATCTCATCCAACTCCAATGTTTGATTTATCTTTTCAAACAAATTATCAGTTCCAATAAAGTTAATATTTTTTATCTCGCTATGATCTTCAATCACAGTTTCAATTTCACTGGTAAATTTGTTTTCTTTCTCAACCACTTGTGAAATTTCCAAGTGTACCCACAATTTTTATAATTTAATCTTTCTCTGCCTCATTAAAAAATTCATTTCCTTCTTTCTCGTCATAAATTCCTTCTCAATTGTGAGTCCAAGCTTCTTTTGCCATTTTTGCATGTATGAATTTTTTAATTCTATACAACTGAGCTTTCGTACTGAGATAATGGAATGTCTTACAATCCAATTATCTATTTCTCTCAAACTCTTTAACTATATTGCTCGATAATTTTGCTCCTTCTGCAGTAGAGCTGTTAAACGAACCGAGCTGTTCGGTAGCTCGGTTCGTTTCGGCTCGTTCGTGTTCGTGAAAGGCTCGTTCGAAATTTTAAACGAACCGAGTTCGAACGAATTTTTTTGTTCGATTAATAATCGAGCGAACACGAGTATGTTCGCGAGTTTTAACGAACGTTCGCGAACATGCTAAACGAACGTTTGCAAACACGAACATGTTCGCGAGTTTTAACGAACGTTCGCGAACATAGACATAATTATCATTTGACAAATTTTAGGATTAATTTTATGGCTGGACTTTTATATTTGGAGGGCAAATTTCTTTGTTTTATTTGTTGCTTTTATGTTAATGTTAGTTATATAGTTACTGAATAATAGAATTTAGTCACTTAGTACTTTAATTATTTTTGAGAATGATTAATAATTTGCATGGCATATTTAAGGCATAAAATAAATTGGATTCGAGCATTTCGAACATGTTTGCGAACGGCTCGTTTATGTTAAACGAGCCGAACTCGAACACGAATTTTACTTAACGAACCGAACACGAACACTGGTTTGGAGTTCGAAAATTAACGAACGAACACGAACGTTGTTCGAACTGCTTAACGAACAGAGCTCAAACATGAGATACTCGGTTCGATTCGATTCGTTTACAGCTCTATTCTGCAGGTTCTATGAACTCCATTTGGATAATATCCCAAACTCTAATAGCTTGAAAAAAACATCCTTATCACCATATTCCAAATCTCAACTTCGTTTTTACCTCCAAAGATTAAAACTACATAATGTCGTAAATAATAGGGATTTAATCTCTACTCAATTAGGACTAATTTTGTGTCCTAATTTCATGTACAAGCCCGGGATCAAAGTCTAGAATTTTAATACCACTTGTTGGCACAAAAGCACACATACAGTGGAAGCAATTTTAATACATATAAAAATATGATGGAAGAGAAGGAGAATAAACACATAACAGCAATTTAATAATTTTATTATCTCAAAACTCAACAATAACAATATCAAGTCATAATTTTTTACTCACGATAATTCACAAAATCTTAATTTAGAGATTTTCTTTCAAACCCACAACTCACAACTCAACTCAACTCAACTTTTCAAGTAACAATGTACTAAATTAGTAGTATTTGTAGATTGCAGAAGTTTCTAAACAAAATAAAATTGTAAATTGAAATGTATTTGGAAATTGATTTGAGACTTCCTAAATTAATATGGAAACTAAACAAACAGGAACCAAAACAAGAAACTAAAAGAATTAGAAAATAAACAAATAGAATAGCTTACTAAAATTCCATCATAATTGAAGAATTAATGTGCAATTTACACGATTTGAAAGCCAGTTCAAAAGACAAAGTGAGCCAAGGAATTTTGGAGGCAATAACCTTATGAAAAAGGAGGAGGCAAAAGTGGTCTCGAAGAGGACAATTTCAATCCCTCTAATATCCTGGAAACTACATAGAAAAACATAAAAAAAAAAAAAAAAAGAAGCCGCATCCTGGAAACGGCAAGGAAAGAGAACGGTCTCAACTATTAAGTCAATGAACCACAAACCAAAACCTTTTATCAGCACAAGGCTTCACAACAATTGTCATATTGAAACTGTTAGTATTTGTTGACAAATTGAACAAGTTTTTAGGATTTTTGTTAATTTAAAAATTTAGCAATTGGTGTTATATTAGGTGATCGCTTATTTGAGTAGCTTCTCATTCACTAAGTTTAGTGGGTTGTAAGTAGGCTATTTTATCTTTTAAGTATTTTTTGAGTTACATAGTGTATTATTCTCTTGATTTTTCATATTTGTAGTATCTAATTTTGTTCTTTAGATCTATTTGTTCGTGTGTATGATTGATTTAATTTCTTTCATTAGTTCAGATTTAATGAATGATGGTGTTTTTATTAAAAAAAAGGCTATTTCATGGTATTTTTCTATGAGATTTTTTAAAAATATTTTTTACATTCTCAACCATTTGCATTCTCTTCCCACAACCAAGTATCAGGCCTAAGATTCGAATCTTAAACTTGTTAGCGGAGAAAACTCCAATTGCCCTCACCTGGCCATCAGATAAACTGCGATGGGTAGAGTTTATTGAACTTATTGGTCACAATTTATGTGACATTCTTCATTATTTTAGATGTTAAAAATATTGTGATTCGATTTCTGTATTCCCTCCCACATAATTAGTATGTGATTATGTAATTCCTTTAATTTTGTGGTCATGTGAAATATTAATATTAAAATTCTAAAATTTGAGATCTATAGTATATCTTTTTCTTTCTGGTAACTCTTGTTTTTTTTTTTTTTTTTTGTGTGGCTTCTTTCTGGTGACTCATACACTACATAGTCAAGCTTCGGTATGGCAGAAAAGATTAAACTTAGAAATGCTAAAATGAATCAGGGAAAAAATTGCCATTTTTATTGTTAATAGAGGAATTTATAGACCTTGTGATGAGGAAATAAATTACAGTCGTAGCTTGCCACCCAAAGTCAAATGACACTTCAGCTCTCAACAAAAATTGCAATTCGTGGAGAAAGCAATAATAAGAAAAAAAAAAACAAATTGCAGATATAAAAAAAATGGAATAGGAAAAGTTGGGGCAGTTTATTCTAGAGGAAATTATACTAACAGCCAAAAGTTGTCGTGATCAGAGTCCTAGATGAACATGACAACAATAATTCTTTAATGCAACTAGTGGAGTGACGATGCCATTTGTGATTGGGATGTACGCCAAACTTGGATTCCAAATTCCAAATTATCAGACTAGTTTAGTTTTTCTAGCCAAAAGGATAAATGAGGTCGGACACGAAGAGTTGGTTGGTTGATAAGGTGAAAAAAATTATTAATAAAAATTTTGAATTCAAAACATCCTATCTACTAAAAAGAGAAAAAAATGCAGTAAACAAAATGACGAATGCTCGTTTCATGTGGTTTGATTTCAATGGAAATTACAGTGTACAATGACATAGACTTCATAGAACATTCACAAAGGAGAAACGAACAAAGGTTGAAAATAGGAAAAGTTTACGTAGTGGAAAATTCATTGGTGCCATTCATAATTGAAATATAGTCCAATTAGGGTTCTCAATTATCTAATAATCAAATGCAAGTTGTGTTAATGTTGGTGTGGCACCTCAGCAATTTCTTTGCAATTTCGGCTTTGTTTGGATATCAAAGATTTGATGAAGGAAATTACAAGTAAAATATGGGGAAGATACTCCGCATATTAGAAGACACAATTGATTGAAAATTACGACTGCTAAATGGTAACTTTAATTGGATGTATAAGTATTTTTCTACATGGTTTCGAAGAAATTCATTTGCTAATCTATGCACCTAATACACACATATATTATATATTGTATTCAAAAGGATCCCGCAATATATTGTACACACACATACACATATTATACAATATATATATATATATATATAGTCATTCGAGAGGATCCCACAATATGTACTCAAAAGGATTTCTCTACTACATTTACTCAAATCATTCTCTGTCGACTTCAATGGAATCAAATTAAAGACATAACTTGGCCAAAAAAAAAGGCCAAAAAACAAAATACATATGTAATCTATTTTGTCTTCAAAACTTGAACAGATAAGGAACATATTACCTTGCAAAACAACTAATAACACGATGTTTAACATTTGAATTTAAGACTTCTAATTTGCCACCCATAAGCTGTGACAAAAATCCAAAACAATCATCGTTCCATTCCTTTTTTCAGTATTCAGTTCTCAACAACACCTCCGGAAAAATCTTTATTCGTGGATTGATCCAAATCTAATATTCTCCCATCTTC